CCACCTAATCAATGGCCTGAACCAATGGATCTTGATCCTCCTGGTATCTACGTTGCCATTGATTATGGTTTTTATCCTTTCCCCCTCCGTTTTTAACTGGCCATCACCTCTTCTTCTTCGTAGCCTTGGCCGACACTTAAGTAAAAAAAAAATATTTATTTAAAAAAAAAAAAAATTTAAAAAAAAATTTAAAAAAAAAAAAAAATACAAAAAAAAAATACAAAAAAAAAATAAAAAAAATAAAAGAAAAAAAAAAAATTCCCCCTTTTTAATATAGTTTCACTAGGGTGTTTATCTTTTGATAAGCATGACTACGATACGTATATGGTATCGTATATATTATATGAAGTTGGCTGTTTCGTCTTTCCTTTTTGCAATTAAAATACTCCCCTTTTTGGCCACTTCATCCGTATTTTCTTTTTAGTTTAGATATTAAATTAAAAAAAAAATAAAAAAAAAAATAAAAAAAAATTATTATATAAAATACATTCTTACGACTTATGTATTTCGATGATGTTTTGAGGTGAACTTTTTTTTTAATTATTTTTAATTTTATACCCCCATTATATTCGTTTCACATTTCTTATCACCTCAAATGAACCCTTACATTTGATATGTGATGGTTCAAATAGTTCTTTACCTGAACGAAGCTTGCCACCTCTACGTGGTGTTCAGGAGAAACGGTTCTAGTTTGAACTATATCCGGCTAAGCGCAAGCATTTACATTCTTAAACTTTTAATATTTGTAAATACTTTTAAATAAAAATCTTGTAAAATTAACGAAAAATGTTTCAATTAAAACTTTTCTATAACTCTCGAAAAACATACAGTATCTTCAAAATAATTTTCAATGAGCTATTTGATATAAATTTGGAATGTATTGTCCCTAAACTTAATTAATTACGTAGACAAATGATAATTTAGGTGTTCGGAAACTTTAAGATGAAAGATCGACCGACCATTTTTTTTTTTTTTTTTTATTGTTTTTATGAAAATTATTTTTTTTCTTGATCTTGACTTTGAGCATCACAATAACTTGTAAACCAGCTTTGAAATTGCGAACTATAAATTGAGTAGCATATCATGTTTTAGTGAAATGGCAAACGAAGTTGTTACAATTGGACGTTTTAAGATCAACAAACGAATAAAAATTTCCCGAGCAGATAATAAAATAAAAAATGTGCGAAAAGGTGCAAATTCGCGGTTGAACTGTTTCAAACGTTCTGTTCATAGAACTTCTACTGATGAATTAAGATTCATTATTTTACAATTGCATTCCTCCAAATTAAGTAAATCTCAAACATATATATAGTATAAATTCCATGATTCCATAATATCCAATCTTATGAGTAAAATATTCCTAATTGGTATAGTAATTATTGATAGCAACTTCACGGGTTATCAGAGATTACTTCACAGTAAAGATGGTCAATGGTCCTACTCGGTACCAACTCGATCCGGTCTAAGCCGGTCCCGGTCTTTGTAGGACGGAACTTGGTCTCTGGCGCAGTAAGACCGATAATAAGACCGATCGAAAGATTACGGTAAGCTTGTTTCATTTTTTTCGTTTCTTTTGTTTTCTCCGCTTCGTTACTTCAAAAATCTAACAATTTCCTCTTTATTTCTTTTTTTTAGAATTTCATTCTTTCGGCTCTTTCGATTTGGCCCCTTAGGCGAGTCGAATTTTATTTCGCTTTCTTTTGTCCGCATCGTTTTTATTTTGTTACTTCCTGCATTTCTTTAACATTTCTAACATTTTCTTTCTTATTTTTAGATCATTCTTTGGCGGTCCTGGTGGTAAGCTTGTTTCGTTATTTCTTTCGAGTTTCTTTTACATTTCTAACATTCCTCATCTCCGTTTCGTACTATTACTCTTTCTTTTTTTTAGGTAGGTCTCGGCTATACTGATTCTTGTTCCTCAGGCGATTAGATAACTTGCTTCAGTTTGCACCGAAAGAATGAAGTTCTAAAAAATGAAAGAGGGAAGAATTGATATATAATTACATAATTATGTTGCGGTCTTAACAAAGGATTCCGGTCTTATTGGTCTATCACATAATTATGGAAGACCGTAAAAAACTGCGGTCCTACCGGTCCTACGCGGTCGGTAGGACGGGACCTTTGACCATCTTTACTTCACAGTTCACGGTAAGCAATGCAAGATGGATGTTTTGCCACGAAGTGTTAAAATCCACCAATCAATGCATTGCTCATAGTAACTGTGGAATCATCGGCGATTACCTGTGAAGTTATGTTATAATTATCCGGTTCAGATAATTAAACTTTTGCTATTGCAAATTACTCCACGGCCAAAGTATAATTATCATATGTGGCCGTGTAATTATTATTATTATTATTATGCTAGAACCGTTACCAAATGGTAAGTTGCAAAATCGATTATTTATAAATTATATTTCAAATTCCATGATAGGAACATTTCTTATGCTTTAGGCATTGTCGCTTTAACTCCAATTCATTTAATGTTGCTTATTCCTACACAATGGTATCATTACAAACTATTTGGAGAATTAACAAAAAAAAAATGAAAGTTTATCGCAACTTTTATTCTATAAACTTTTGGTACGAAATATTTATACTGTGCATCAATTTACGACTCCAACCTTCATTTAACAAGCAACCACCCTTTTACACTGACATAAAGTATTCATTCACGGATAAGATCCGTCTGCAAAAGAAATTGTTTGAGTTTTACAAACTGCTTCTAAATCTTTCCATATAGTGATGACGGTGAAAATGGTCACGTTATTAAGATAGTTTTTTGGCGCGAAATTGACAATTCATAACACTAATCGAGACGACTTGTCCCTATAAAATATAGTTCCTTTTACACTTGGTGGAAATACAAAAAAAATTTCATCGGTATAGAATTTATTATCTTACATTAATTATTCTTGTAAGTATTCCGAAAGTTAATTTTATAGACTTTTTTTTTTCATAAATAAATTCACTCATAAATAAAAATTCACAAAATATTTATATTGTCACACTCTCTAATTTTCTTTCTTTCATAAAGATTATTTCTTCTTTTCTTAAATATCTTAAACCAAACATACATTATATGCAAGCGTAAAAATAAAAAATAAGATTTTTATTAAAATAGAAAAAATACACTTTAATCAAAAGTTAATTTATCCTCTCCCTTAGATATTTTTTTCAGTCGTTGGTTCCGAAAAGACACTTGATTTTTTTTTTTATAAACTTATACTTTACGTATTAACAACCTTTTATAATAAATTTTTATTTGAAAAAATGATCGACATCACATATGCCCGGCTTTGATACCCCACTGATATCTTCTCTTCCAAAGCCATGATTTAATCCAATCGAGTATTTATGGGATCATTTTGGAAGGAAAGTATATAAGTATGAAACCTTACCAAAAAAATAAGAGAGAATTTTATTGCAGGTTTAGAGAATGAATGGTCACAAATCGAGGAAGAAGTTTAAATAAATTTGGTAAATAGCATTCCACGAATTGTTGAAGCTGTAATTAAAAGTAAAGGAATCCCCACAACTTATTAATGCTAAATTTAAATAGTTCAAAACCAGATAATTTTGGTAATATAAATTTTTATTTTATAATATTAAAGTTTTTAAGAAAGTTCGATTTGAAATTTAGCTAATTTTTTTTAATCATTTGAAATAGCCGATACTTTTGGTAAGGGGGTGTAGTATATAATATTACCAGCTTAAATACATAAACTAAATGAATTATTTCAATAAAGTTAGTTGATGAAATTTGTTTTATTAATTTTAAACGTAATTTTATCTTCACTTTTGCTATCATCTAATTTTCTTTTCCCTATATCCTTTTTTTAAAAAAATTTTAATGATAAATTAATAGATTGGCTGCCTAAATTTTTTGCTAATTCGAAGATTTTATTATAATTGCATTTGATTATTTTTCGGTAGGTTCAATATTCAATGATTCTATAGTTTTTGTTGTTACTCTATTTAAGTATATAGGTATATTATTTTATTTCATTCAATATTTATTATATTATCTAATATTTCTTTTTAACCAGAGACGGTTGGGCTTTTGTTTGGGACAGATGACAATAATTTAATGTCATTCTCAGGTACATTTGTGAGGATTGGAGGACGAAAATATAAGATTTGTATCTCTCAAAAAGTCTTTTTGCATATAATCATACCGAATCTATAGATAACCGTAGCTGTAATAATTTTTATCCTAGAAAAATCATAGGAACCATAAAGGAATACTTCCATAAATCTTATCATTGAGTTGAAGATTTACATATTCCTAATTCGCTTATTATCGCAGGATGCAAGCTAGTAGGATTATTATAAAGATCTATATAATAAATTTATGATTATGATAGGATAAAGTCTCTTAAAATATTATCCAATTTTTTATTCTAATCAATATTATAAAAAATTTGCAATGAAATGATCCAAATAACCTGTAAAATAAGCATTATACCTTATTTATCTCTTTAACATTTACATATAACATAAAGAAATTTAATTCGATATAAAATTCTGCATCTTAGAATTCCGACATAAATATGTAGTACAATTTAGTGATATTTTAATGACACGAGTCATAATTCAAAAAAACCCGCCGGGTCAGGGTCACGTTGTTGCTTGACCCGGGTCGACCCGCTAGACTTTTTTTTTGTTTTATGTTACGCGACTTAATTTGTAACAAATAAATAATAAAAAGTAAACCTAACAACTTTTTCTAGAAAACGAAAAGCATTTCGGAGTGAACAATTACAGTAAAAATAAAAAAAAATTATTAAACATTAACTAATACATTTTCTTATAAATCAACAATTGTTCCAGTAGAACGAGATTTTCTGGCGGAACCGATCTGATATCAACCAAAAGATGTGATCTTAAAGCTAGTATAATTTGCCTGTACGTGCTTGAAATTCTGGTGAAAAGAAAAAGAAATTGAATTAATGCTCGAGTCGAATCCGGGTTAAACAATGATCGGGTCGAGTCGAATTCGGGTTCTGTAATTATTAACGGGTTCGAGTTCGAATATGCCTTAAACCCGACCCGACCCGGCCCTTACGGAGCACTAGATAGTATACCACTCAAATGATTAGTTTACAATACTTGTGCTACAACATATTTCGATTATGGTCAATTGAGTGCTAACTAAATTCATTTACTTCCTTTTTATAGGAATTGGTGATTTCCGATACTTATATAATCTTTGAATTTCGTATAACAATTTCGAAAGAAGATGAGAAGCTAAACTTAATTTATCTAAATTCATTTGCGAACCCATATAATTGATGCAATTCCAGCGTTTTTATAATTTCCCAAAATTCGACTTTAGATTTGACAATCTAGATGCTGACTCAGTATAATCGGTTGGCGTGCAGATTCAGAGTGGTACAACGGCTGGGCTGCGCCGATCACGCAAAAAAAAAAAATAAAAAATTTAGATGCGGGAATTTTTTTGTACAATTTTTAAAAAAGGATTGTCATTTACCACTAACTCTGATTGTTTGAAAACAACAAAATAATAAACATTAAAACATGGAAAAATTTTTGTAATTTCTGCGATTATATTTTTCTGAGAATTCAAAATTTCTTAAACGGTATTGATATGTTTTCCAATTCCATACGCGAACATGTAATTATTTATTTACACCATCAAACATCGTTCGTGCATTTAGGAATAGGTTGTTGAAAAAATGTCGTATTAAACAAACCTTGGAGGATACATTTAAATCGTAATTTTAAATGAAAATGCCGCCATGAAATTTCATTCAAACCCTCCTAAAGGTATTCATGTTCATTAAATTTTTGATACTTTAATATCATAACATTTGTTAATATTATTTACGTATTTCTTCAAAATTAAAAGCAATTTTACATTAATGATTCATATGGAAGGACTAAAGCCGATTTATCAATCATAGGAATTTTTTCGGTGTTCTCTTCACCGGTAGAATTGATGACTTTTAATTTGATTTTCGATAACACGTTAACGGTAACAAAAAGTTCATTTGATTTTGATAATTTATCATTTTTTCGTTACAAAAACATCAAACTAATAACTTAAATTGTAAAAATTTACAAGTTTCAAATTCACCGAAAATTTAAATTACACCAGGAATATTAGAAATCTTATTTATAAATGGTAATAATCGATTTAATAAAACAAGACTAAGTTTTTCTAATCAATTTTATATCATATTTTGTGTGGCAAGTTGTAGTTGTATTAGTCAATCAATCAATTGAACCTAAGTTAATAAATTGAAGAACATTGTGAAATATTTCGTTTTACGTTTAATATAAGCGCATGTAATATTTTTAACTCAAATATGCAGCCTTCGAATTCCATGTGGTTACATGCATCTGTTTCATAATCACACCGCCAGGAAGATAGCTCCAAATATAAGAAGGTATCAACATGTTCATAAATTTTGTGAGAAGAGAGAAGGAAAGTGGTTTCGAAACGTCGCCAAGTGTAATGATATCATTGTTGATGTAATCTACTGTTCATTTTTAATTAATCATACGCCGTCTTTGTTTCATTAAGGTATGTGGCGCAGTTATTCGGAGAAACCTTTCCACTAACTAATTGTATTGTTCTGCAAGTGATAGGAGATTCATACAATCAGAGCGTCCTACGATACTCAACATAACAATTAAAGAAAATTTCTTCAAATTAATAATGTCACGTAATTAATTACACCGGCACGGCAGCAACAAAAGCACAACAACAATAATGACGGTACACGACTGGGATAATAAATGTATTGCGCATTAGGTAAGAAAACATATTTGCTTACACCAATTTTTTATAATTTATCGCATTGACCCTTTATTACGAAAGTTTCCTTATGATATATATTCGTCAACCGAAGAAATCCCGCGGTTATAGTAATATATTAATGAGTCAATTTCCCTGATTTGGGATTC